GTGAAATCATTTTACTAACCCAGAAACTGTTGTTATGGCTCCAATAGAAGCTGTTAATGGTCAAGGACTATAGTCTACAAGATGAAAAGGATGATTAGAATGTGTTGACATTAATTAACTTCTCTAGAATAAAGAGTACTTAAAACAGCAAATACATATGATTGAATTATTGCTACAGCTGACTCTAAAACTAATAAAGCAATTTGTGTAAAAATTAATAGTCTAATTAAAGAAAAATTTATTGAAGGTCCTGTATTTCCTAAAAGAGTAAGTAAAAGATGTCCGGCAATTATATTTGCTGTTAATCGAACAGCTAGTGTACCAGGACGAATTATATTTCTAATAGTTTCAATACATACTATAAATGGTATTAAAACAGCAGGAGTTCCCTGAGGTACTAAGTGAGCAAATATATGTTGCGTATTATTTAATCATCCATATATTATGAAGGATAATCACAATGGTAAAGCTAAAGATAAAGTAAGGGTTAAATGACTTGTTCTTGTGAAAATATAAGGAAATAACCCTATAAAATTGTTAAATAAAATTATGGAAAACAAAGAGACAAAAATAAATGTCGATCCGTTTGGGCTTATTGGCCCTAAAAGAGTTTTGAATTCTTTATGTAATGATAATAAAATTGTATTTCAAATTAAATTATAACGAGAGGGGATAAGTCAATATAAAGAGGGGATTATTAAAATACCTAAAAATGTGCTTAATCAATTCAATGAAAAATTAAAGATTCTTGAAGAGGGATCAAAAACAGAAAATAGATTAGTTATCATTTTCAATTTAATGAATTAAAATTTTTATTTGAAAAAAATTTTGATTTAGGTATTATAGGATTAAAAGTGTAGTAATTTATTATATTAAAAATTATGAATCTGATTGAAAAAATAATAAATAAACTTAATCATCTAATTGGGGCTATTTGAGGAATTAAAAAATATTATTTAATAATAATTTTAACTTGACAAGTTAATGTTATAGTTTAACTAATTTTTTATTTTATTCATTAGAAGTAATTGCTAAATTACTATAAAATGGTTTAAGAGACCAGCACTTGCTTTCAGTCATCTAATGAAGAATTTAAATTACTTATAACTCATTTAATAAAATTTTTAACTGGAACTCTTTCGATAACAATTGGTATAAAACTATGATTAGCTCCACAAATTTCTGAACATTGTCCAAAAAATAAACCAGGGCGATTGATTATAAAATTAGTTTGATTTAAACGACCAGGGGTACCGTCAACTTTTACTCCTAAGGCAGGGACTGTTCAAGAATGAATTACATCCGCAGCTGTAATTAAAATTCGGATTTGGGAATTTATAGGAATAATAATTCGGTTATCAACATCTAATAAACGAAAACTATCTATATTTAATTCGTTTGATGGAATTATGTAAGAATCAAATTCAATATCTATAAAATCTGAATATTCGTAACTTCAGTATCATTGATGGCCAATAGATTTTAAAGTAATTGATGGTTCTCTAATTTCATCAAGTAAATATAATAAACGTAATGATGGGAAGGCAATAAATAATAAAATAATTGCAGGTAAAATAGTTCAAATAATTTCAATTGTTTGTCCATGAAGAAGATAACGGTTAATAAATTTATTAAAAAATAATATAAATATTAAATATCCTACTAATATAGTAATTATTACTAAGATTATTAATGCATGATCATGAAAAAAAATTAATTGTTCTATAAGAGGAGAAGAACTATCTTGAAGACCTATTAATATTCAAGTGGACATTTCTAAAAAAAGTAAAATACTTTATATATGAAGCTTAAATTCATTGCACTATTCTGCCATATTAGAGTTAAATTAATTAGTTAATAAAGGTAATTCAGAGTAACTGTGTTCAGAAGGAGGGGTATTTTGTAATCATTCAATTGAAGAATTTAATTGAATAGGAAAAATTACTTTTCGTTGACTTACTAATCTTTCTCAGATAATGAAAAAGAAAAAGATAATTCCTAATAAAGAAATTGTTGATCCAATTGTTGAAATTACATTTCAAGTTGTGTAAGCATCTGGATAATCAGAGTAGCGACGAGGTATACCTGCTAAACCTAAAAAGTGTTGAGGAAAAAATGTTAAATTTACTCCAATAAATATTACTATAAATTGACTTTTTAATATTGATGAATTTATAGTTAAACCCGTAAATAAAGGATACCAGTGAATGAATCCAGCTATAATAGCAAATACTGCTCCTATAGATAAAACATAATGAAAATGAGCAACGACATAGTAAGTGTCATGTAAAATAATATCAACTGATGAATTAGCTAGTACTACTCCTGTTAAACCACCTACGGTAAATAAAAAAATAAATCCAAGAGCTCATAAAATAGCAGGAGAGTATGAAATTTGAGTTCCGTGAAGAGTAGCTAATCAACTAAAAATTTTAA